ATCTCAACTTCCCAGTATGACCTACAGATATGTGATTTCCGGGTGGTCTTCTCTCCAGGCTTTACCCCCGGTCTGGCTCTGCTCAGTTTTTCGTGATCAGCCGAGGCTAGATACCGCCGCCTGTTGGTGACTTAAGTAGGAAAAAGTAATGCTGCGAAATGGTGATGAAAAAGAAGTGGTCAGATACTGCAGGTATCTGTGCTCGTAGTAGGGTATCTGATGGTACACAAAAAATAAAGCTAAATCCAGAGAAGCAGACTTTTAAATCATGCCATGTATTAGGTCCAGTCAAGTAAAGTAGAACAAAACTGCTGGCTAACTTCTGACTCAAAAAATCTGATGACTTTTAAAAATTATTTACATGTATATGAAGCTGCTGCAATGTTTAAATTGTCCTCAACTTTCCAGAACAGATGTAGAATATTATGAAGTGGTATTGCAGAAAAATTTGTTTCCCCAAAATGAACAAGTGTTTGAGACTTTTCAGGAAGTTGTCCTAAGCCCAGATATGCATTCTTCTAATTTAAGATTAAAGGTGTAAATTCTAAATATTTATTCTGAATTATCAAATCTATCTGGATGTATTGGGACTTATTCCCAATACTTAGGAGCAGTAATGTTTTGATCCCAAGCCAAAACTTGAATTATTAAGTTTTCACCAGTCTTTGACTGTAAACCTAATTGTAGATTAATAATAATAATAGCAATTCCTCGGGGTGCCCTGTGATTAGGCAGGGAAAGATCAGTTGGGGAGACAGGTTGGCTGTCAGCCACCTCTAACCTCTTCTTCGTAAGGGCACAGCGCAGCTGCTGTGCATATGGCAGAAATTTTATGTATTTAGTTGTTGCATTTCTGTGTTTCTAACAGTACACAGTTTTTCCAGACCTTTCAAAGAGCCATCAATCCCCTTGGTCATTTGTCAGAACTGGAAAGTGATGAAAACTTTCTAGAAGACATTGTCACATGAATATGAAATAGCTATTTAATGTTAAAATTTTACCTGGAAGGCAACCTAAATCCCACCATTGGGAAGGGAGATGTTGGAAGTGGGCTATCCAGAACATCACCAGCACAACAAATGGCCATCATATAATTGACATGTAAAGAAAAGGTAATCATGACTTATACGGAGTGACTATAAGGAAGAATAGTTTGGGGTTATGTAGTCTTAGTATTTTTAACCTTTAGAATCCAAATTCTGTGTATGGAGCCCAAGCAACACCCTTGGCAAGTTACCAGGTTTCTCATGTCACACAAAGGGTAAGGATCTATTTCTTTTCCTCTTATTTAATCATGTCTGTAGAACTCAGAATTGATTTTCCTTTTCCTGGCTTGTTACAGCACATATGTGCACTCTCTCTTGTTCTCTTTCTTTCTCTCCCCAGCCTGTCCAATGGAACCGCTCTTGTTCTTGATTGATTCTGTGCCATCAAGTCAGTGTTGAGTCTTACACACCCACATATGGTCTGAATTCACACTTCCTGCTGCGCTATGCCCTTATGAAGAAGAGGGTATTGGTGGCTGACAGCCAACCTGTCTCCCCAACTGATCTTTCCCTGCCTAATCACAGGGCACCCTGAGGAATTGCTGCTATTATTATTATTATTATTCTACAATTAGATTCACAGTCAAAGACTGGTGAAAACTTAATAATTCAAGTCCTAAGTTTTCACCAGTACTATTACTACTACTACTTATTATCATCACTATTACTTCTGCCATCCTAACCAGGTAGAGTCAGGTGTACTATATTTATTTTAGTATATATTTATCTTGCCCTTCCTTCATAACTGGCACATGGCTCAGTTTATAACCACCCCAAGCAATTAGCCTTCCCCAGAAACTGCTTTTAATATTGTTGTGTTCATTCAGTAAAGCTTCCTAGTTGACAGGGCCTTTGAACCTGAATTCACCAAACTATATTCTAACACTGTAGCCCACTGCAGTTCTTCTGCACCGTTAATCAGCCATAACTCACCAAGTAAGCATCTTTAGCACTGAATGTTTGTTTATTATTAGATTTATATCCTGCCTTTATTTTGTGCAATTCAAGGTGATGTACATAATGCTCCCTCCTCCTGTTTTCCCTACAATAACAACCCTATGAAGTGGGTTGGGCTGAGAGGGAGTAACTGGCCCAAAGTGATCCATCCAGCTTTTATGCCTAATGGAGGGCTAAAACTCACAGTCGCCTGGTTTCTAGTCCAGCACCCTAGTCACTACACCAAAGTGGCTCCCATGTTCTCTGCTAGCTCCAGTAAAAGATAGGCTATAAAAACAGTACTCAGCTCAAAGCACTTTTATTCTAATATAATAGAGGTGTGTTTATCATACTTACAATGTACATAAAGTTTGCCAACATTTAAGAAAACTGATATCCTTATGACCATAAGTTGTCATAGATTTATTTGAACGTGACTGCTTGTTCGTTTGTTTTTACAAATCTGTTTCCCCTTTTAACTGTCTTACTATTGACATGCCTCCTTTACTGTTAACTCTCTGAAAAACTAATCTGACACTTTTAGCCTCTTATTTTTGTTCTTTATTGCCTAAGCAGAGATTGTGTGGCACTTTTTAAGGGTCAGGATGAGATAACCAGGTTCTAGAACTTCATCCTACAAGTAGAGATTAGCAGTATTGCTAATACATTGTGTTTTATTCATTTATAAACCGTACTTTCGTGTGTTATATTATACAACAATTCTCTCTACTCCTAATCTCAGATCTCCCATGTGACCAGGAAATATGCTGTGCAGGGAGTTCATATAGGCTAAAAACATATCAGGAAGCATGACTACTTTCCCAGTTAATGGGGGGGGGGGGAAAGA